ATGCAGTATTGAAGTAATCTAATATAAAAATAGCACAACAAAAAAAACCCAAAACAAAACAAAAAACCCAACCCAATATCCAAAACCTCCACCAAAACACCCTAAAGTGAAGTTTCCCAAGATGCTTTTTGCACGAAACTAGTTAAAAACCATAAAAAAAGCTTCATGAGTAGGATCTGTGATAAAGCTAGCAGCTACTCTGAATTTCTGAAGTTGACTCTCTGAATCTAAACATGTGTAACAGTACCTTGTGTGTGACTGACATGCTCTACAGTTTTGTAAATTAACTCTTAGATTTAGTAATCCACACTTCTAAAATAGTTAGAATCACATTTCCTTTGCATAACGAGCATTTCATTACCAGACAACTTTCTGGGACACTTTTAGTACCTCTTCATCTTTTTCAGAAGTCATCCTGGTGGCCAGATGCTGTGTGTTCTAAGGCTGAAGGATTTTCATATATTGCTTTCACAGTGTTCTTGAACTACCAGTCTTGACATTCAGACATACTTTAATTGATGTGTGATGACTCTTCTTAATCTAATACTGCTTTTGCCTAATATAATTTTGATCTCTGACAAAATTTTAAAATAAAATTATGCTATCTAATACTAACTGAACAAAACCAAGGGGGATTTAATGCAAGTAGGTATTTTGTTTTAAATAATCAAATGAGGTTTTAATCTTTTTAAGCAACAACTGTAACAGTTGTTAAGCTTAGTTTGTAGTTTGCAAAATTCTTCCTTGCTCATTAAGTTGTGTTAAAGCAGCTTAATTGCATTACTGGCACACTGATGTCTGACCTGTTCACCTTTTGGTTTGCTGTTCAGAAGGTTTGTTGAAATTGTTAAAATTACAGTAAAAATGTAGTGGGTTGTGAGGTGGGGAAGGGTGCAGGGGGCTTTTTTTGTTTGTTTGTTGTTTTGGTTTTGTGTGGTTGGGGTTTTTTATTTTTCTTGTTGACAAAGGGATGGTTCAGCAATGTATAATGAGAAAAAATTATGCTCAGTGATGCTGTATTTAATCTCCTATCTTGCTGCATGGGAATTTTATATGTTTGCAAGGTATTTTGCTGCCCTCTCTTGGTAGAGCATTTGTATTGTAAACAAAATGCTCAACTTGTTCATAATTTTTATTTGTACATTTCAAAAACTGGTTTTATACCTTTTATTTCCTGTAAAAATGGAAAATGATGATTCTTTTACTGAGAAATGAAGTGGTAAATACTGAGTCACTCAATATTTATTAAATAATCAGTATTATTTTATTCGAGTCCTGTGTGGATGAAAGTGGTTATCTCATTGCCTTTCATCTGTATCTCATTAGATAGCCAATACAATTTGATCATGTTGATTGCTGATTGAAATGTATTTTGCCTTAGATTAAGTTTAAACACTTAGGTGCATTTTGTTATGACACGAGGGTGTTGTGTGTCTTTATAGCTCTGTGAAGAGTAGAAGAACCCCAGGAAAGCTTCAGGAATATGTTAAGATGTATTAGGAGAATCAATGAATCCCAAACACACAGTTTGTTTTAGGCATAGCTACATCTTGAACTTTAGTTAAAATTGTTAAATGTAGCTAACTGCACACAGTTACATGCTATATAAAGACAGAGTATTCTTTTATATACACTCTCATCACCAATTCCCCTGTGTATCTAGTACATAATATACACACGTGCACTTACCCTGTCACTAGTTAGAAAGGCTTTAAGTAAAATCCTCTGGGCCAGGACAAACACCTGGAATACTTCCCTCTGCTACTCTCCCGTCTTCTAGGCATCCCTTGGTTCAACAGTTTCTTGTTCATGATGCCATTGGTTTTCTAAATGACTTCCCATGGTTGTTGGTTTTATTCTTTGGGCTTTTTCCTATTCTTTGGTTGAATCGCTCTGGCAAGGAGTTCCACAGCTTATCTACCTGATGTTCAGAGGAGCTCTTTTCTTTTGATCTTTGTTGTTATTAGTTGCATCAAATCTTTCCTCTCAGCTCTTTTAATAGGATGTCCTCATCACTCAGGATTTTGTAGAACTCCAGTTGTCTTTTCCGGAATGCAGAATTCCAACTTCTTTAATTATTTTTGAGTGGAAAGTATTTGGTACATTTGATCATAGTGTTGCTGCTCTTTGAGTCTTTTCAGTTCTGATGTTCTCCCCCTTTTGATGTGGGAACAGAGATTCAGGGTTTATGAAGCAGGATGGTGTTGTTTTCTGTACTGTTCTGTAATCCTTTCCTGATGTCTAGCATCTGGTTTATGTTTTTGAACAGAACACATCAATGAATGGATGTTGTCATAGACCTATGTGTTGTAACCCTAATATCTCCCTCCTGAGCCAATAGTCAACTCAAAGTCCAGCGTTTTGTATATGAATTTAGCAGATTTCCCCTCTCTCTCTCCCCTGCTTCACTTCAGTTATATCTCAGTTGAGTTTTATTCGCCAGGTTAGTTGAAGTTGGAAGATCCATCAGTAATTCTTCATAATCAACCATCATCCTTGCTACCCTAAATAACTTAATATTTTAAGCAGCTTAAAGAAGAGCACCTTACTGTTTCTTTTCCAGATTGCTTATGAAAATATGAAATAGCAGAGCTCTTCATATGACTTTATTGCAGAACTGCCTTGGTGATGCTGCTCATGTGTGAGGAGTGACCTATATTGAGGTTCTATTTCTATAAAGAAATGAAGAACTTAAGCAAAAGAAATTTTTTGACAGTTACTTGATGTGTTGTTAAAACCCAGTGAATTGATATCTTCTAGTATTATAAACTAAATACAACATGAAATGATTATAACCCCGAATGCCGTATCTGCATTTTAGTTTTAGGATGAACAGAGTATACATTTTTAGGTAGAATATGCTCATTTCTGGCAAATGAATGAAAAAGAATGGAGACAATAAACAAACCTGCTTTGGAGTCTGGTATTGTTGACTTAAGCTCTTTTTTTTCCCTAAAGGAGAGGTGAATGTGCACACATTTGTTGCTAAAAGGCTATTCAGAGCATAAGATGAGCAAGCTCAAGTTAGCTATGATGAAAAACCTGCTTTCCTTAAATAACAGATTTTATCTGAGGGGGAACAGAGCATATAGGAAAACTAGTTTTGCACAGTACAGAGCAAGCAAAAATGTAATGTGAAAAATACTTTAATATCTCTTTTGGAGCTTAGATTTCTGTGGTTTATATTACATTCTCTTAATATTTTATAAAAATCCTCTGCTGGTTCCAAATATGTATGGGTCAATCATCAGACTTTTTAGTGGACTTCAGAGGCTAAAAATCAAACATTTAACAAGCTGAATTGCAGCTCTGGTTTCATGGTGACTGCTATTACAGCTTTGTTATATGGGAGAGCAGGAGCTGAGGAAAGGACTGATTAAAGGAGCATAACTATTTTGCTGCTCCTGAGGATGGTGGGTAACAAGTTCAGTAGGGAAAAAGTCCTTTTGCTGTACATAACTCAAATTTTATTGCTCGTAGAAATTATGAAGTTTCAATATTTGTAATGTATTTTTGTTTATAAAGGAAAAACACTGGTCTGAAAAATGGGTGGACTTCAGTTGTAATAGTTCATGGGCTAGAGTTTCCAATTATGCCAGTATTTTCTAGGCATGAAAAGGAGTGAAACAGGTGAAGTTCCCTTCATTTTCAGAATTCAGTTTGTATGATTCTACACATTCAGTATAGCTTTGCCAGTGACATGTCCATGAAAATTGCCCAGTGGTGTAGTATGGAAAACATGTATCTAGCAGCTTGAGGTGTCAAAATTCAGGTCTCCTTTTTGCTTTGTAGTTAAAAGCTGGCTGTGCTTTGTATTTGTTGAGAAGCTCTCTTCAGTTTGCATCTGAAGCATGGAAGAAAAAATGACTGCATGATTTATATACAAGATATTTTTTTTTTTTTTTTTGGAAACAAGAATTCAAAGAGAACAACAACTTATAACATTTTCAGTGTTATGTCCTGACAGGAATATACTGGCCACAGCTGGGAGGAGGATGTACTTGTTTTTTGGTTTAGCAGCGAGTTATACCCAAGAGATGAAAAATCTTTAAAAATCAAAAAGGTGTATTTTAGCCAACTAGGAAGATTTATCTTAAAAACAAACAAACAAACAACCCAAAGAAAATGTAAAACAAGTTGAGGAGAAAGAATCAAAAAGATGATATATAGCTTTTCCCACTATATTTTTGCAGGAAAGTCCTTTCAGCCAACCCAGGGGCTTTGGCAGAGACTTGCAAGATTCCTCCTTACCCTTAGGAAGTTCTCTATATTTCCTCTGCCTGGCTTATACTTGTCTTCCCCCTCTCTGCTTTCCTTTGCAAAGACTCCCATGAGCTGGAAAACCTGCCAGCTCCCCGCAGTGTTTCCTTGGCTGCTGCACCCTGGATTTTCTTTGACCATGTCCAGTTTTCCCCTGCCTTCAGGGTGTTCTCATGTTGTTGCCAGTTAAATTGTATGTGTGCATAGTACCATGCAAGTGGAGACAGACATGTCTATGTTTTGATGCTTCTGTAAAATTTGGATAAATACTAGCTGACTAGTTAATCCAAAAAATATAATTTATGTGGGGGTGGGGTTTTTTAAATGAGTGTTTGTGTTATTACTGTTTCACTGTACTTTTATTCACTGCTTCGGATATAAAATACCATGCGAAGAACAAATGTAACTCTATATTTCAAACTGGGAAGATTGTATCAGTAAATTAGCAGCAGCAGCTTTCTATTCTTACTTCTTGAAAGCTGTTTCTCAGAATGTTCAATTAGTTAAGGGGAAATTGGATATGTGATTTTTTTTTTTACTGTAAACATAATAAAACTCTTATCCAGCTCAGAAAAATGACACATAGAATTAAGAATTTTATGTAGGTACAAATGCTGTGCTTTTGTTTTTGCTGGTGCAGAGATTGTTGGTTAGTTTCTCTTCTTGTCCTCTTAACAGTTGCTTCGTATTTCTGGTTTTCACTTTGCAGCTTAGTCTTTTTCCTTTTTTCACGATTGTAGACAGTTGCAAGAGCAACAGAGGCAGAAGGAGCTGGAACGGGAGAGGCTGGATCGTGAACGAATGGAACGGGAGAGGCTGGAGAGAGAGAGGCTAGAAAGGGAAAGACTTGAAAGAGAGCGCCTAGAGCAGGAGCAACTGGAGAGAGAACGGCAAGAAAGGGAACGGCAAGAGCGCCTAGAAAGGGAGAGACAAGAGAAGGAGAGGCAGGATCGAGAAAGACTTGAACGACTTGAACGGGAAAGGCAAGAAAGAGAACGACAAGAACAGTTGGAAAGGGAACAGTTGGAATGGGAAAGAGAGAGAAGAATTTCAAATGCTGGTAAGAATTTCAAAACCTGAGTGTGTTCAACTACCAGACTACTCTTTATGTGTTTTGGTGATGGAGTGTGAGAGAAGCAACAAAGGGCAGTGAGTACAGTTTTGTGACAACAGGCTTCTATTTGCTGGAATTCCTTTTTTTTTTTATGGCAAGAAGTCCAAGAGCTTTGACTTTCCTGTCATAATTTTCCATTAACCCTGAAATAAATTTTTTTGCACTATTTGCTCAATCCATTGCCGTACTCTGATTGCTTGAAGAACTTGAAGCATATTGGACGCCCTCAACATTGGTTAAAGTGTGATGAGTTAAATTTTCTAAATACCTTATCATTGCTTGCTCTATTCAACAAGATGTATTTGCAGTGCATAATTTGGAAAAAAACCCCTAAACATACCAGGTTGACTGTGTTAACATAGAAGGTATGTACCTATATAAGGCAAAGTAATATTGGAGAAAAGCTTCTCAGTCTGAAGTCTGGCTTAATTTATCATTGTAGTAACATTTCGGTGAAATGTATTGTATGTGCTTGTAGATAAGATAATGCAGTGCCTGCAGAAATGCATCCAGTGATGACTGAAAGCTTTCTCATTTTGCTAATATAATGGAACATTAGTCAAGTGCTTGGTTGTTCTTTAGTAACAAACTCAATTTGCATAAGTCAGCTCATGGTAGAAGTCAAGGAATACTGTGAGAGCTAGTCATTTTAGAGTGGAGGATTTTATGGGTAGTTGTATTCCCAGCACTTTCAAGTTTACGATGGAGCTTTTTCTGGGGAATAGAAAGATGATACTTGCTGCCTAGGGTAGGAATTTTGTTGGTGGAGTTGAAACAAATGTTAAGATCACTACACTTGCTTGCAGTTTGCAACCAAATACGAAGATAAAAGCTCATAAAACACTGATTACTCAACCCTATATCTAATCCATCTCACAGATGGGATTTGAGAACTTTCTCTGGAACATACTTGTAAATTCAAATGTTGGCACAAAAATAGTTGGTAAGATTAAAAACACCTGTTGATAATATGTAAAACTTTCCTAACAGTATTTTCACTTGTGCCTAATCCTCTGGTACTAACTGTAGTCTACATTTATACATTTTGTTTGAATGCTGGTTTTGTTGCTTCATTAGCTCCCTTTTTCTCTTTCTCCTTTTTTTATCCTGCCTTTGCTGCTGCTTTCCATCTTCTGTCCAGCTCCATCTTTCGACAACTCCCCGTATAGCACTTCACTTCCTGAATACTCCAGTTGCCAGCCTCCTTCAGCACCTCCTCCATCATATGCAAAAGCAGTCTCAGCACCAATGTCAGAGGCCACACCGGAGTACGCTGTAGTGACTTCTGCACCACCGACTTCCACTCCCCCTACACCGCCTCTAAGGCACTCTGCATCACGTTTTGCTACATCTTTAGGCTCAGCTTTCCACCCTGTTCTCCCCCATTATGCTACGGTTCCTCGTCCGCTGAACAAAAGTTCTCGGCCCCCTTCTCCCGTCAATGCCATGGCGACTTTGCCTCCAAATACAAAGCCTGTTGCCTGGTCCGCACCTAGTTTTGCCCCCCTCCCCCCATCTCCTCCAGTAATGATAAGCAGTCCACCAGGCAAAGCTACTGGTCCGAGACCTGTCCTCCCAGTGTCAGCTTCTAATCCGGTGACCCAAATGTCCACGTCTCCCACGGCTCCTAACGGGCTTCCTGAAAACCTGGCTTATCCGGTTCCTTCACCTTCTACCTCAGGTCCAACGCCGCCTCCGCCACCTCCTCCCCCCCCACTGCCTTCCTTTCCGCCTCTGTCACTGTCTGGACCTCAAGCTTCTCCTTCTCCCAACTCCCCGAATGCCTCGACTCCCTCATCCAAGCCTAGTGTTCTCCCTTCTCCCTCTGCAGCTACCCCTGCCTCTGTTGAGAACTCTCTAAACTCTGTGCTGGGAGACTCCTCTGCTTCTGAGCCAGTCTTGCAGGCAGCCTCTCAGCCGATTGAACCTACGACCCAGCAGGGTAAGGCTTTCTGTTATTGCTACTAATGCGCTAAGCAGGAACGCAGTCGAAACCAATTGGTGTCAAAGCCCCTAACTGCCCCCAGGCATTAATACAATGCTTCCAAAGTTGCAGTGATCTTAATACCACAACGAAATACCATTTGGAAAACTGGGGTAAGGGAAACTTGAAAGCTCCTGTGCACAAGAGCCGGCGTTCTGTGGCCTGTCATAAGTAAAAGTCTGATTTCTTAAGCTCTCACCTGTCTAGATCTGAGTTTGTCAAATGTTTGCTTGGTAAATATTGCACTGTTAGTTTATTTGGAATGAGATGTTAACAGGCAGCATCATTAGTTTCCTCATGGCAGCCAACACAGAAGAACATGTGTGCGACTTTGGACCTTAAGTGAGGAATTATTCAAATTTAGAAAGTAGCATGTAACACCTACAGCATTTCCTTTTGGACAGTGGTTGTATTTGGATACATGGCTGTATGTGCACACATATATATAGATAGGTCTTTCTGTGGTATTCTATCAGCGTAGCTAAAGAGACTTTAGACAAAGTTTGATTAAGCAGGTGACAGTCTTAATGGACATTTAGACATACATGTTTTACATGGGTCTAAATGTCTTTGTTAACCTGAATCCTGCTTTTATATTGATTTGGTAGATTTAGATCTTTGTACATAACTCTGCAGTAGCTGAGCTAAAGGGATGGGCAGAGGGGCTCCTGGGGGATAAGCAGCCTGTGGCTTAATCACACACAAGCCATGCAGAGTAGATTCCTCTTTATACCCTCTTGTCTTAAATGAAGATGTGAGCTACTCTGGGATGGGATGGAAATAGGGTGAACAGCCTCACTACTAGTATGGAATAAAAGTGTGCACTTGGATGGTGAGTGATGCCTAGAGAGTTTAAAAGGCTTTTGAATTTATGCAGTGGTTAGCAGACTACAAAACCAGGCAGACTTGTATGTGAAATTCCTGCCCTTAGAGACTGCTTAAGAGAGTTGTGCAACATTTTTAGTACCTTATGGCAGTTTGGATGACATGGGGAGGGATGTGTGGAGCTGTTGTCTTAGTCACAATTTCTTAAATTCTTCTCATAATAATAACACAGTGATCATCAGAATATTACTTTCTCAAAATACATTTTATATTGGATATCAATGTGAATTTAAAGCATTAAAAGAATGATACATAAAAAATAGAAGAGTTCGATCCCATCAGCTTGAAATATGTCAGTCTTCTAACTCACCAGTTAGTATTTGTATTAAATTATTAAAGTTGATTAGTGGAATGTTTTTTAGAAGAAAGATTTATATATAGCTTAGAAATTAGCATTGGTACTCAAACAGTTTAAGGGCTCAGATTCGGTGATGTGTTAAATGCTTTTTAATACAATGAAAGGTCACTCTGTGTTTAGCACCATGTGAACACACAGTATTGTTCCTACATGGTACGGTGCTCGTGCCTTACTTGACTCTTTGCCTGTTTCCTGGTGTAAAGTTCTTCTTGGTTGCAGCACGGAACCTGACTGGAGGGGTTTCCTATCTAAATGTCTCTGAAACTGTCTGATCTCTCATACTATACTATGTAATATTTTTAGTACATTGAATAAGAAAGTTTGTCTCCTGCTGAAACTTGCAGTGTTTTCTTGCCTAGTATCTTACCAGTTTTAGTGTTTCATACACTGAGCAAAAGAACCACCATTTCAATGGAAATAAGGCATTTCTTTTCTAAGTCCTTAATGTATTCTGTTTGTTTTCTCTTTGATACTAGGTGGTGTCCAAGGACCACCAGCACCTCCTCCTCCACCTCCCCTACCCCCTGGCCCAGCTCAGTCTTCAGTAGCAGCCCCACCTCCTCCTGGCCCACCACCGCCTCCTCCACTTCCACCTTCAGGGCCTCCGCCACCACCACCACCGCCTCCTCCACTTCCTAGCCAAGTTCCTCCTGTTCCCCTTCCACCTCCTGCTCCTCCCCTCCCAGCCTCTGGATTTTCAGCGGGGTTTGTGTCCGAAGATAATCGCCCTTTAACTGGACTAGCAGCTGCACTTGCTGGAGCCAAACTTAGGAAAGTCTCACGGGTAAATATAACTTCCGTTTCATTTTCCAGTTCCTGTCTCTAAATCCTGTCTTCCTGAACCGGTTGTAACCTTTGTTCAAGATAATTAGCAGTATCAAGACTTTTTGGGTAGGCTTAATTAATTATTAAAAAAGAATTACAAGATGTGCTACCAGCCCATCACATTCTTTATGCAGTTGTGTCTTTCCTGTATGTGAACTCTGCTGATTTCATTAAGTCAGCTCTCATTCTGTTTGCACATCTGCTGTTATTTTGTGTACTATGAAGGGTGAAGACTCCTCCAGTTCAAGTGGAGGAGGAGGAGGCTCTGCTTCATCTACTTCATCTAAAACAGATGGTGGCCGTGGAAATGGACCACTTCCCTTGGGAGGCAGTGGGTTGATGGAAGAAATGAGCGCCCTGCTGGCCAGGAGGTAAGGAACTGTTTCTGCTGTGCTCCAGCTGCTTGGTCATCATAGAGGTAGGATTTGTGGTGCCTGTTTGCAGCTGGCTAAGGATCAAATAAGCATCGGCTTGTTCATGTGGTTGCTTTCTGAAGTTGATAATGTTTCATGAATACCCATTTTTATTTGAGTGTAATCCAGTACTTCTGTGCAAGTCTTTGTGCAGCACTAGGGGAGGGGATACAGACTTTAAATTGCACAGTTGCGTTCGCCAGGAGTGTGTTGTCCTTGAAAGTATTTTGAAAGTACCTCTTTAAACACACTAATTTTCAATTATCTATCAGGCTGTGTAGGTCTTTAGTTGCAGTAAACAACATTTTCTTCTTAAAGCCATGACGATCTTGTTAACTTTTGTCTCTGCTTATAGGAGAAGAATTGCTGAAAAGGGATCAACAGAACCAGAGCAGAAAGAAGATAAAACTGTGAGTTGGGAAATTTTATCTACTTCTCATTATTAAATAAAAAGACTGAGAGAGATTCAAATGGTGTACAAGAGCTTATTTATACTTTACTATATAGTTCAACACACACTCAACCACTGTTTTGTAAAGTGCCTAGTGCTTGCACATTTTCTACATAAATTTTAAATCTATATAAAAAGTGAAATAAATATTTAAACAGTTGAGACTGACTCTTGTGAATCTAACACTCCTCCCTCTTTTCTCCTTCTCTCCTCCATTTTAATCAGGAAGAATCAGAGTCTTCAACTTCTAAAGTTTCTTCAACAAGCACACCTGGTAAGTAGCACAGGTTTATGAACACTGGGGCTCTATAATGCTACAATCTGGTGACAAATCTCAGCAGCTCTGTTGAATTTTGGAACCTGCCTCTTCTCCATAATTATAGCCTTGGATTTTGCTGTAAAATGGGTCCTGGTTCAGAAGGTGACTGATAAAAAAAATGTAAGTGAATAAAGAATATAAGTGTATGGAGTTGAAATTCTTTATCCCTGATTCCTCTGCTGAGGAGTACTAGGAGCTAAGTGTGTCCAGATGAAAATAACTGGAAAACTTAATATTGAGACACAGCCACTAGTCTAAAGAAGTTAGACTGCAAGGCAATAAATGATGTAACACAAATGAAGTTTTGACACCCCCCTCCCTTTTTTTTTCTCTCTCCTTAGAAGTTTGCTTCATTCTGTTAAACACAGGGATGAATTTAGCCTTAGGGAAATTAATATAGGACCAAAAGAGGGAAGCAAAAGCCAGTAGAAGTGGTTCCTTTAATTGGTTGTGATGATAAGAAGCCTCATCAAACTTCTTAGTGTCAGATGCATTCAGAATTTAACCATTTCCTTCCAATGGAGAAATTTCACTTCATTTCTTGATGTGAGATGCTCTGGTAATGCTGTGCCTCATCACTGGAATGTGTCTTTAAAATGTTCTAAGAGGAATGCTTAGCATCCCCTCGAACAAGCTGCAGCCATAGCAGAAGTTATTCAGTTTTGCAGAGATGGCTAAAATCCCACTAAAATAACTCCTATGGCAGGACAAGTCCTGAAGACTGGTGTATAAAAACAAGCTTCAGAGTTATTACTAGCACTGGCAACCTTTATTTGTCCGGATCACAGGCTATGCTAGCAGACTTCTGCAATTCAGATACTCTTCTCAGTATCTAGCTGCATCCCAGAGAACTTTCTGGGCAACATGAGACTCTGAAAGGGCATGTCTGCCTCTCTGCTTGCCTAGCTTAGCAGAGCTGAACAATATGAAAGAAAGGGAACAAACTCCAAATCTGAAATATAGACTGATCAGTAGCACACTGAAGTTCTGAGTTAAGTAATGATTGCAAGTAAGTAATGATATTTCACACTGTGGAAAGTTCCTTTAATTTTGAGTCTCTTATTTTGAAAGGGAAAATGATCTATTGCAACTGTAGAAGTATCCTTTTAGGGACAAGACTTTGGAAAATAAATATCTTGTTGCTGAAAAGTTATTCTAGTTGTGTGAGGTTGTATCATACCTTCTGTAACTAAATTGAAATTGGCACTGAATTAATTTTATATAATTCATTAGCAGCTCAGGAAAACTCCTTTAGCTTAAAAACCTCTTCCTCGAGTATTTGAAGCTGACTGGTTATGTTTCCAGAATTCCATATTTCACAACTGAAAGCAATCAGATACATAAAGTATAGGCAGACCTTCTCCCAGTTGGATTAAGAATCAAATGGCATTTACAGTGTCTAGGACACATGTGAGACTCTAAGACACTCTCACAACATAACTGGTAGTATGACTAAAAACTACCAGATGAATACAAAAGATGAATACAAAAGAAGGCAGCTTAATATGAAAGAACTAATGCAATGTAGGAACAACAGCAAAAAACCAACCTGCTGACTTAAGTTGCCAGATACTTGAAGTTTCCTCGTGTAAATTACACAAGGAATGGAAAAAGACAGTTTTTAATCTCCTCACTATGTTTTCCAGAACTAACAAGAAAGCCTTGGGAAAGGACAAATACAGTGAATGGAAGCAAGTCACCTGTTATCTCCAGGTACTCCCCTCGGCTATCTTTTCCTTATGTTTGCTGTTGTACATGCTGCTGAAGATGGTGGGCTAAAATAGCAAAGCTCACCTTAATAGTGTTAAAAGTAAAATGTATGGGTTTAAAATTACTGCTGTGAAACTGCTTTTGGCAGTTCTAAGTAGGAATCGAGTCACTTTTGGAGAGTGCTAGTAAGTGAAATTTTTGGCAGTAAAATCAAAATTAAAACTCAAAAACATTCTTTAACAATTGGTAGTATATAACTTGAATTGCTAAGGTGTATATCTGCCTATAGCGATGTTTAATTTTTTCTATTTATTTGAAGTCTGAAATTTCCTGCAAGGGAAAACCAAATTCAGTGCTGCAATTCACACATTCAGTAGTAAATCTAGTGAATAGGTGTTCTCCTTTCTATCACTGTGGTAGTCATAGAATGGTATTCTAGGCATTTAAGCTATCTTGGTAAGATTTGATTCTGTGACAATTTTCAGTAGCTGTCTCATACCAGTCTAAGGAAGTCTGTCATAAAAAACTACATCCTTCACTGCACTAACCAGTCTTCGGTAACTTGTCAACTGGAACTTCAGTAGGTAGTGGGTGTTTCAGTAGGCATTTCAGTAAGTGAAATAGTTGCTTTAGGTTTTTTTTTTTTTTTGAGGTATGTTTAATTGCCATTTACATTAAGCAGAAGGCTTGGGGTTCATTTAGAATTCCTGTATGTTGTGTGTACAGAGGTTAAAGGATTCTGAACTGTGATAATCTGACAGAATTACCTGAATTTCTTGAGAGAAAACAAAAGAACATGTTAAACTTTAGAATGCTGTGTTTGAAATTACTTGAATTCTCCTTAAAAGTCTGGTCTGTTTGAAACAGCTATACGAGATTTGGTGATTAGAGTATTAAAAACAGCTGTTCTTTAAGTGGCCTCACTTGTAGTTGAGTTTGCCAGTTCAGTTCTAAAATGCAACACTAAACATTCTCAGCCTGTATGAATATCCTTGTCTGTCCTCCTCTCTGCTACACTGTCAGTGTAACAAAATGCTGCACTGCCTTTAGCCTTGACTGTCCCCTGCCTTCTTCCCCCTCACCCCCAGTAGGTCTTACCTGCTTTAACCAAGGTCTCTTGTACTGATACCTCGTTCTGCTTCAAGGTGTGGCATTGAGGGGGAACTTGTCACAGAAATATTTTGTGTAAGGAATCCTAAAGAGCATTTTAGATTTCGTGTTGTTTAAAACAGTTGCTGACCTGTCCCTTTGGCTTTAGATACCCTATGGATAAGCAGTTGAAGAAAGTGAAGGGATTAATAAGTAGGGCAACTCTCCACATTGGACTCTTTTGGGGAGTCTGGGATGTTCTTAAGTCTTGATTCTACCTGCCCCTACCATAGCAGGTTCTTTTAAACTGTTTTATGCATCTAATTTCACTGATCTTTTTTCAACTGGTGAAATTCAGAGTTGCTGAAGTCTTTTAAAAAAATGTTTTCTGACCTAGAGGAGTACAGGACTACAGAGGATTTTTGAGATGTCTCTTGAGATGCATTGAGACATTCTCTCCATCAAGCTTTTGTCTTCACTCATCCAGTGGAAAATGTTGGTAGAATTCAAGTTGATGTGGGCCTTCACTGGTGTATACTCTAAAATAAGAATTCTATATTTATTGAACATCAGTATTATTTTTCCAATGCTGTCATAACCTGCTTGCAAGTGCCATAAGCGTATACTTTAAGACTGCTGGTACAGCTTTCTAGTCAGTGTTTACAAGTTGCTCTGCCAGGATGAGGAATGTTTCACAGACCAAGAAAGAAAAGGTGTCAGTAGAGGTCTCCCTTGAATATCCTTGCGTTTTTCTTAATTCTCTACGCTTGCTAAATCTGTTTCAGCAAGCAGCTTGTTAAACTTTCTTTGAGTGAGTTAATCAAAGGGTGCTGCTGTTTGAAACACTAGTACTGTGTTTGCCAAAAGGGGATATCTTTCACCTGGTAGGGCTTGAGAACCTGCTTCCAACCTCTACAGAGAGGATATGAGTCATCTACAGAGGCTAAGCAAAGTGTGCTTAAGAAACTGGCAAGTAAGCAAAATTTTCTCTTCAGAGCTTCCAAACGGGTTGACAATGAAGTTGTTGTTATTGAGAATGAATGTTCTAAGCATTTTAAAATAAGCTAGTGTCCTGTTTAAAATCAAGCCTTTTTTTTGGTAGCAAACCGAAAAGACTTAAGGTGTTTGCTTTTATTTCCTGAAACATTCAGATAGAACTCTTGGACCTAGTGAAACTCCATGGTGTTTAAGGTGCTAAAACTGAACAAAATTAAGACCTATTATAGCTTGTTAAGGTAGTATTTCTCCCCTTCGTAGACGGGAATCTCCGTGGAAAAATCTGCTTGCTTCTGAAAACAGGTTCTATGATTCATTAAACAGGTATCATCCTGTTGGGATTTGAGACTTTGTAATAACCACTTTGACCAGTTCAGGGTTGGACTTTTTCTACATGGATTGGTAATCACCACACTCACCATCTCTTCACATTTTGTTTGTCCAGTTGAGCCCATTTTTGCACTTGTTAAAAGCAGATAGTGTCAAAGGCAAATTGAGATGGCTTAAGAATCAGATATGAATTCGTATTAAATACTGGTTTTCTGGCAGTCTCCACCTGCAAAGATGCAATTTCCTGTTGAATGCCAGGATTTAGTGAGCTATTTGCGGTGTTTTGAGAAGCAGGTTTTCAAAACTGTAAAGTTTAGATACACAGGAATAGCAATTACTTTTCCAGGTGAGTTTTCACATCTGCTTTTTGATAGAAGACTTGTTAAACATAAATTAATGTTTCTATTTGGAACATACTCACAAGTTAGAGTTAACATCATGTATTTTTTTTTCTGTAGATCTAAGTTTCACTCTCTAGTGGTACTCATAAAGTACTGACATTTAAACCTTTCTTAGGAGAACTTTCCACAGGTAGAAGTGTCACAGACTCCTCAGAATTACTGAGTCAGATTCCAGCTTTGCTTTTCATGAAGGCACTCGCTGTGGTGATTACTTAATCTTTTGTATGAAAAGTTCCCCTTTTAGCTACTTATTTTGGGTGGTGTATTCTGCATGATGGCATGAATAAAATCTTTATCTTGCATGCTTGATTTAAGGTGTGTTAGGGACTGTCAGAGTTGCCTAACAGTCCTGTTAGGCAATGCTATGAAAAGCCACACGGGAGAGCTCTTTAGCCGTCTATGGATTGAATGGTTGGGATGATTTATTAACTGAATTTCAATAGTTAACATTTTCCTTAATGGCAACTGCATTCACTGTTAATCTTTCTTCTGAGCAAGTTGAAGAGAGGGGGGAAAGACAGGTAGATTTTCCTGATAATAGAAATTATTTAGTTTACAAGTTACTGTCTTTCAGTATTTAAATTAAGAATGTCTTACATTTCGGAAAGCAAAAATGGAAGACATTCTTAAGACTGAGGGGTAGAGTTTTATAAAGAAGCTTTCCTGTTGAGATTTTTGACAGCAGGAGTAGATCACGTAGGGTGGGTAAAGCTGACTTTTTATTCTGAAGCTCTGAAGAAAAAAAAACATGAAGCAGTCATTTGGTGGAGAGCTTTTCTTTGAAGTCATCTCATTAAAACATTAAAGTCATAAGTTATTTTTTTAAAATTTTAAAAAATTTATAAGTATATTCTTGTTTAGGCTTTTCTATTAAGGCAGTAGGTGCCTGTTGTCAATTGCCAGTAGCTGTATTTAAGAGGATACTGGGTTTTTCCCAGTCAGTTTTGTTAAATGCTGTAATACCACAGTGCATGGGAACAAAGTGGTAGTCGATGGAAGTGATGAGAAACTATATATGAAGAATCTGAAAAGCTCATGCTATTCTGCTTGGAGTAAGTTGGGGTTCATGATTTGAGATGTAAACTGCAAGTAACACTTCAAATATCAGATACTTCGTGAAACAGCAATTGCCAAAGATCTCATCTTGATGAATATTTTAAGGGAATGGAATTCTTCCATTATGAACTAAGCACTATAAATACGTAAAGAGTTTTGTAAAAGATCCTGAATTGTGGTTTGCCTTCATAGCATTAGCACACACAGTAGATTTTGTGGTGGTTGCAAGGTGAATTCTGTTTTTCAGCTTCTTTCATTATCAAGTTATTCAGTATTTCATCTTTTGTCTTACTTGGTGGATTGTGTATTTCGTTTTGGGGTGTTTCAAGCAATACTAATGTTAGCAGTTTCTCTCTTGGAACTTACATTTAAACAGTGTAGACTTAAGTCTTAACAGCTGTAGCAATTGAGTATTGGGATCCCACATGAAGGAACAAGTATCAAACCAACGTTTTGGTGTGTGCACCCTTTTCTGTTGGGAGTCACATTTTGAGTGTTTTTGCTTCAGGTAACAAATCCAGAAAATATTCCTGTCAGGTTGTAAAAGTCATCAAAACAATCCAGTGTGACGTTCATTCAGCTCTTATTGAACAAAACCCGTATAATAGGATAATTTCTCTGTGAATGAACTGCTGTCTTGTAAAGGAAGATGTATGAAAGCTGAAGGGTAGTGATTTGATAAAACAAACTAGGAAATATATGCATATATTTGTTTGCTATTCTTTTTCTTTTGAGTGAGAACACAACTTTTTTTTTTGGTTAGCTAAATTAAAAATATACAAATAAATGAGAACGAAAACATGGGATACACTGCTTGTGTCCTTCACACATTCTGCTTTTTTCTGAAAAAAAAAAGTAGTTTTATAGTGTATATTCAAAAGAAGATAAAGCACAGAATTGTGCCTTTCTTGCTGTTTTTTTCTTATTTTTGTTGCTGTCCACCTTCCATTGTAATAAATGAGGCTGCACCATCAGGTGACAAATCCAGAAAAGTGCGGTGCTTAATGAATTTCTCCTGTGTAGGAATTTGGAAGTGACACACTGAGTTGAGGCCAGGCTTTTTTTGTTCAATGAAATAGGTCCCAGTTTAGTCTACTAATACCCTACCCTTCCTCAAAGTTAGCATACTGTGATAATCCTAAACACTGGGGAAACCTCTTGACATGAACTTTGTCCCACGCCATCCATCCATCCCTCCCTGCTTTGGAGAACCGTTTTGGTATTCCTGCTGTCAGCATCTAGGTACTGTCTCTGCTCATAGCTGTAGTAAGTACATGAGTCTGAATTACACCTTGTATAAAAGAGGGGATCAGGAAAGAGAAGTGAGAAGTCAGAAAACCCACTTCTTTTGGAATCTGTGTTAAAAAATGCAAGATGATCTTGGAAAGCAAGTCTTTGTCTTAAGAGAGTATTGCATCAGAAAACATCGAACATGACATAGTCCAAAACACTGAATTTCCTCTCACATGTTGTCTTACTGTTGTTACAGTACTTGCTTTCAGGAGCTTTAAAAAGCAATTGATGGAATAATTTGGTTTGGAAGCATGTCAGATAAGGTTGCTCAGCCATGTCCTGTCAAATGTTGAAAATCTGCCAGGGTGATTCCATGGCATTCATACAGTCAGCATCAACATGTAGTCATTAGTTAGTGGGAGTGTTTCCTTGAGAAAGCCTCTTTTGAATGAGTAAGCAATTGAAAAGATAAAGTATTTGACATCTGAAGGCGTTCAGCTTTTCACGCCCATTATGAAGAAATCAGAAACCACTGACAGTGGAATCTGTCTGCTACTTTGAAAGTTCTTGGTTTGAACTAATAACTCTTATTCATATGGTAATTAATATTTCCAGAGTGTGGAGAATGTTCTTGGTTGTTGCTTTCTATTCTGTGTGGTATTTTGGGTCTGCTTGATTTTCCCACCCTCCCACTCCCAGCATTTTTTTTTTCATTCTGATTCTTTACTATGTTTTTGATAGACAAGTGTTAGTAAGTCTGATGGGGAAGTCCTATGTATCCTGTACTCATGGATGTGTTTTTGTACTGCAGACCAAAATCTACACCAACGGGACAACCTAGTGCCAACGGAGTACAGTCAGAAGGTCTAGATTATGACAGATTGAAGCAGGTATGTATATAATGCTTTGAATGGGCAACTTGGATATATAAGGGCTTGCAGCTGTCCCATACCAATTTTTAACTGTGTTAGCTAGTTCCAAACTTAATGATTTAGTAATTGCTTGCAGGGCTATGGTGGTGGCAGTGGTTTTTAGAGGGGTGTGAATTGTTGAGTTGAAGGATCTTCCTGAAGAGGTGTTTGAATCAACAAGCTTGTCCCCAAGTGGGGAGGGAGATTCTGGTGCAAGCTCCAGCTTGGTGGGTCTAGAGTGGCTTTTAACTTGGTAGTTGCTTCTAGACCATTCTGATTTAGTGGTTGGCTCTAAATTGGGTTATGGATCAGCAATCTGTTCTCGTTGCTTCTGGATTGAGTCCTGACTCAGCAGGCAGTTCTAGAATGGGTTCTGACGTGGTGGGAGGTCCTGGAGCATGTGTGGGTTTGTTCTAGAATCTAGTTTCGTCATCTCGAGAGGATTTGTGGGACTCTTGCTGCAGCTTCCATGAAATGCTGCTGCTGATACCAGTCTAGCTGCCTTTTTTTTTCCCTTCCTCTTTTTTACTGGTCTGCTTTTATTTCTTTTCTGTGGTTCTTTCAAGTTGAAGGCACAGAAGATGAGGACCCCATCATTCCATAAAGCACAGCTCTCCCATGTTTTTCCAGTGCGCTCATTCCCACTGCCTCTGTTAAGATTATTTTCTCTGGAGGCAAAATCATCTCAAACTCTATGTCTACTGGACACATGTCAAGCTCTTACTTGCCCTTGCCAGAAACTGGTGGCCACACTCCCACTCCAAGGCTTCTTGCTGTTTGCCCAAGAGTCTTGTATAAGACTTGGTGAACTGGGAGACCTACCTACTCTGCAGCTTTGGTACATGCTCTTACACCAGGAATGCCTTCAGGCAGGAAAAGTGCGTCCATACATGTGTTGGTGCAGCTCATAAGGGACCCAACAAATGTAGAGCACATGACAGTAATTGCATGCTCAGTTGTGAACAGCACAGTTGTGAACAGCATGCTGACCCCAACACTGGAAAAGAAACAGCTGGAATCCTCTAGATGACTTTTGTGCTCACTATGGATTTGACAAGGAGATGACAGTCTCTTTTGCAGAAACAGACACTACCCCCGGCTCTGCTTGTAGACACACTATCAAATCATCAGTTAATATCACTTAGAGGAAAGGATGGAGAAAACAGCAAGCGGGAGGTGGCACCTTTGCCCTGTTGCCTTCATTCCCTCACATTCCACTTGGCAACTGGGACCTTGATAACTTAATCTCCCTTTTTTCTTCTTTTCTTTGTCTATTTCCTTGGCTTGTGGTGCTTAGTTAGCTCCTTTTTTTGCATTCCACATCACATTTCACCTGTAGCAAAGCTTCCTTAGTTTAAAGGAACATGTCGAGTTTTGGGGTTTTTTTACTTTTTTTTTTTATTTGGCAGTTACATTAGTGTACTATTCTAACTTCAAAATGTCACTTCTCATAAGTTCTGTGGAAATCAATTTATAGGACTTCTATGGAAGGTTTTTCTCTGTATTGTACTGCAGTAAGGATGTTTTATGGATGCCTGCGTTAGGTTTTGAGGATTAACTTGGAAGCTGAAGGGTGGGTTATGTGTTTCAGAAGGGTTAAGGGTTGTTTGGAAGAATCAGATTGGAAGAATTGTCGACTTCTCTCCACAGAAAATTACAGGTGGCAAAACTAATTTGTTCACTGATCTGTTATTTTTGTTGTGACACCACAGGACATTTTAGATGAAATGAGGAAGGAGTTAACAAAATTAAAGGAAGAACTCATTGATGGTAGGTACCACTGTGTTTGCTGTTGCTTTTCAGTTTTAGAGTAAGTAGCTACAGGTGCTTTATAATGTGTTTACAAAGTGTTTCTAGCCTTGAGAATTATATATTGGTAAAAGTAGCTTTGTTCTTAGCCTGGTGGCAAACCATTTGTGCCAGACCTGTTCTGATTGATGTGCTTTGTTTTCTCTCCTGGAAATTTTGCTTTAGTAGAACATTTATACCAAGTAGTGTCTTTTAAGAGTGGTTGGAGGGATACTGTATTTGAGTGATTTGCAGTTGTCCTTAGTATCATGTGGTGGTAGGTGGGTTATTTTTAAATAATCCAGAGATGCTGAGGTGCGTATTTCAAAACTGGTAATATTCGGACTAGAATGGTGCTTCCAGCTTTGTCTTCTCTTTGATCTGTAACATAGGAGTCAAAGAAAAGAATTCTCACAATTTTCATTTTTAATGGAAGACCTTTTCCTAAGTAGTCTTCTGTAGTTAAGGGAAAACACCAAGAAAGCACAATCTTAAAGGTCCACCAGTCAGGAATTAAATAAAACTCTGTGTATAATTTACTACCTTGGTGGGCTTTTTTTTTTCTTTTTTGCTTTGTGGAATGTACCAAAATAAAGTATTGGGGGGAAAAAAGTCATATTAAACTCATACAACTGCTGATAAAATATCAAATGTCATCAGCTGATGTTGCAGAAAGAGCTGGCTGGTTTTGGACTACAGAGAATGTAGTGCTTTTCCCCTATATTTTGACTGTGCTGTGTTGTACCTCAGCCTTTTACAATAGTACAGTGCAAACTGTACAGGACCCTGAGGCTGCTCTTAAAACAAACAAAAAAACTTATGTGAGCCCACACATATGCTCCTTGATAATCCCAGTGGTAGTGATTGTCATTAGGTAAGGTCATAGGCTTTCTGGAGATGGGAACTGAAAAATAAGATGTTAACTTTACAGGACAAAAAAGGGTAGTGCCTGGGTGATAATGACAATTGTCTGAAGCCACATGAGACTGTCTTATATATTGCTTATTCACATTGTAAGACTGTTGGAGCAGGGTGAGCCTTCTTTAAGGGGTCACTTGTGTATTCTGGCTTTCTGCCTTGACTGTGACTATTTGATTTGCTAATTTTCTCTCTCTTTCTCTTCAGCTATCAGGCAGGAACTCAGCAAGTCGAATACTGCATAGAAAGACTAGTACTAAGCCGATGTGACTCTTTAACTTGATATAAAACTGACTACGTTTTGTGAGCTGTTAGAAGAAAACGGAGACAGACAGACACTTGGAAGGAGGGAGAAACAACCTATTCTGAAAAGCTTCAGACACATCACTCTGGTGATATGCTATTCCCCTCCTAGTTTGCAGCTTTTTTCTGACCTTTACAGCAGGGTGGAAGAGACTCTTAAAGTTACTGTAATGATTATGCAGAAATTCCTACACCTATCAGACAAGATCACAATGCTTTGAAGTCTACTCATGTCAAGATAAAATTGCACATGTTTCAGAATTCATGCTGGTTTAAAGGTAAACCGGTGGGAGAAAATGAACCTAACTCAAGAGATTACAAGTCAGACTTACAATTTACTAAGAAGATTACAATAAATACAATGATACAGAGAAAACTGATTTTAACCCCCAAAGACAGATGTATAACCCAGCACCCTGGGACAAAAACAGTGTTTGTTAGCCCCTGTGCTGAGCACTACGTGGTCCCCCGGGTGCAAAGTAAAAGGAAAGGAAAACCTGTTGGTCCAGATGATGGTCGCAGTCCTGTTGGAGTTCTGGTCTTTCTCTCGATCTGCCGAGTGGTACCAGAAGTCCCAAAACCCCAAGATTATATGTGCTCAGGTTCAGGTGGGAATGTCCAGTACCTCCCCCAGGGCAGGGAGTTTCACAATGGGTGATTTAACTCTGTGAGTCATGGGATATTTTTGAAGTCTTTAATGATCTAGGTCCTTGCAGCTGCCTATTATGCCAGTCCAGTATGGCCCATAGCAGAGATGCCCCCTCAGGCTGGGTGTGAAGGTGCTAATGCTTCCCGGAGGGGAGTAGTCACGGCTGAGTCATTAGTGTAAAGACAAAGAAACACTCCTCACAGAGTTCTTTAACACCCAGCTTGTAGCCTGAGGTGTCACGCGTACCCTGGGCAGCTGCTGCAAATGATCTGTTATTAACAGTCCATCAGAAATGACATAGAGGGTGTAGAATACACAGTTTTGGTTATACCCACATTGTGATAAACTGGTCCTGACCCCTGTAACTAGGACAGTTGTTAAGACAAAAAACAGGGAAAAGCTTGGGAAGGCTTTTCAGAGAGGTTTTCTTTATTAATGAAGGAGTTAGCAAGTTATACTGTTGTACTTCAAATGTATCTCAGGTTTGTCTTCCTATCATATCTGATATTTCCATGAATAATTTAAGAGATCAGATGTGTAGAAGTTCGGTTCACAAAACATGGAACAATTAGAAACGCGCGCTTTTAAAGGGCAATATTTGTAAGTGAGTGACCTAGACGGTGATAACATATCAAGACTTTGGAATTTTATGATAGGAAGCCTCTCTAGTTAGCCTTCATGCAATTTTATAGGAAAACAAAAAAAAGCAAATACAGTCCAGAGTTTAAAGATGTAGATGCCTTCCTACATTGTTACAATGCTTTACCAAATCTAAGACTTCTACATAATGCGAATCAGCAGTCAAATGTAAATCATTAGTATGTTGTAGATTTACAGTAGATTTTGGGGCTTTTTTTAGATTTATGCATGTGGACATTTTTGTAATGTAACACAACACAGCCAGCTTTTTAATTAAAAGAAAAATTGCATGTCACAGAGTAGCCTTTTCATTTGTAAGGCTTAATTTATGCCCAGAAAGATGCGGGATGAGGGAGGGGGAAGGTGACACATTTTTATTACTTTCTACACTTTTTCTTCATCTTACATGCATGTGTAATAATGAGGAAAACATAACTTTTATCAGTAACCATGTTAATGGAACCAGGTACTTAATCCTTTTGTATCTTTTTTCAGTTTTCTATTTGAAATTCCGTAGTACTTCCATAATGGTTCTGAAACTCCCAGGTGAACCAAACTCATTTCTCGGTGAGAGAAAAAATGTGTAGGCATCTGAATTACTGAGGATGCCCCTGTGTAAGTGCGTTGTCCTTTGCCTTTTTACCATGACCTTCTGCTTCACTCTTTTCTGAGACTCCTTTTTTGATTGTTTAATGAACAGAACAGCAGTTACCTTAGAACAACAGA